TATATAATATTATAGTTAGTTATATTGTAATAATTTGGATTTTTTTAGCGGATTAGGGCTTTCCGCCGATTCGAAATTTTAGTGGCCAATTTTTCATCGATTTAGTCAACTCTTTATTGTAGTCCATATATGATTATATACTTAATCTATGATAATTCTATGATTTCTTTTGTGTGACGTAAATTTAATGGTCAACATAAATTCATATAGGGAAAGAACATTTCAATATTCATAAATTGATGAAAACAATGAAAGTTAATAATGTAGTTCTCTCATTTCTTATTGGATTCCTAAAACAACATTTATAATGAATTTTAATAATTTTTTTGAATTTTTTGAAGGCTTAATCTGAGCAATTCGGCCTGATTTTCGATTCAGATCGGCCATTCACTGATCCGATTCAATTTTTGAAATGTCCGATCTGGATCACCGATCCATTTTTTAAACCACCGGAGGAAACCATCAACATACTAATCCCACTAATTAGCGATCTGGATAGAGGTTCTTTTAAAGTTTAAGAACTAGATGCCCATAAATAATTTACAAATGGGCACACCCGTGAGAGCGGGGCAACAACTGAATCCAAACCGTAAGGGGAGCGATTTACTGAGATACCCGTTGATTTCCCGTATTAGACCGTTAAAACAGATTTCTAGAGAGTGATATGGGCTGAAAAGCCCTTAAATTAAACGAGGATTAGGATCAAGACTGATTAGATTGTAAGAGAGGAACGAAAAACAAACGGAGATGAGGATTGAGGAGACGGAAGCGGAATGGAAAAGCACAAATTGGTTTCAAACTTAGAGAGAGTGAGAGAGAGAGAGGGAAGGGGGATGAGAGAGAAAAGGCAATGGCAACGCCCATCGGCAGCCGTTGGGTGCCACGTGGAAAACGGCCACACGCCGTTGGGGTGACATTATTACCACCTACCAAACGGACGGGCGTGGGCCCGAGGCAGCTCACGTCCGGTGCATGGTAGTCAAACCCCCGAGACCACGCGGTTTAAACAAGAGAGAGAAAATTTTAGAGAGAGAAAGCGGTTTTTTGTTGGTGAGCGGTTTTACGGTTCATGCCACGGAACCACCACCGCCCGGCAGTTCCATTAAACCCTGCATATAAAGGCCCCATTTGGTCCCCATGGAGAGGGGAAAGAGAAAAAAAAAGCCTTTTTTAGATGTAGAGAGAGAGACCCGTGTATTAGGAGAGAGGGAGGTAGAGAGAGAAAGAGACTTTTTTTGATTTGCCTTGAGATAGAGAGCATATGGGTAGAGAGAGAGAGAGACCGGCTGAAGAGCCAGAGGAGAGAGTTATGGAGTTAGAGAACGATCACCAAAGCTCAACCCCTGAAACTTCAAAGCTACGGATGAGAGGGAAAGTCATGGTAGAGAGAGAAAGAACACCATCATCGACGACGATGACGATGACGATGACGAGGGTGAAGGGCTCGTGGAGCCCGGAGGAGGATGCCACACTGAGCCGGCTCGTTGCGCATCACGGGGCTCGTAACTGGTCTGCGATCAGCGCCGGCATTCCGGGTCGGTCTGGCAAGTCGTGTCGGCTGCGGTGGTGCAACCAGCTGAGCCCGAACGTTCACCACCGGCCCTTCTCCCCGGCAGAGGATGCTGCAATCGTTGAAGCCCATGCCCGCCATGGCAACAAGTGGGCCACGATCGCCCGTCTCCTCCCCGGCCGCACTGACAACGCCATCAAGAACCACTGGAACTCGACTCTTCGCCGCTCCGCCGTCAATGCACAAACTCACAACATCCATACACAGCCCCACAGCAACCATACACAACCCTGCTCGCTGCCTCCTCCACACTCTCCTGCACCGTATGTGCGCCATGCACAGGCCGTGCGTGGGGATTCATCAGGGGGGTCAGAATGTGGGAGCGAAGGGAGAAGTAGGAGCGAGGACGAGGAGCCGCCAACGTGCCTGACCCTTTTGCCGCCGGGATCAGAGGCGAAGGGTGTAGGGCCACAAGGGGGATATGTGAGGGTGGAGGAAGCGTCGGCGATGGTGGGCGCCGCGGTGAAGGTGGCTATGGCGGAGGCGCTCCCCATGGTGATGGTGCCCAGGGGCCACGGCGGCGACAGTGGGAATGGGGCGTTTATTGGGCGTGATGGGCGGCTAATGGCGCTGATCCATGGGATGATAGCGGAGGAGGTGAGGAGTTACTTGGGTGGGATGTTGCCCATTTCTCAGCAGAGGAAGGTTTAAGGGGATGGGGTTCTTCAATTAGGAATGGATTGAATAGGAGTTGAAAACAGAGAGAGAGAGAGAGAGAGAGAGAGAGAGAGAGAGAGAGAGAGAGAGAGAGAGAGAGAGAGAGAGAGAGAGAGAGAGAGAGAGAGAGAGAGA